CTATAAATCAACTCTCTACAGCGAGCCCGAAATGCAGCTCAAACTCGTCACGGGAACATTCTCCCTGCGAACTTCTTCCCGAGCGGGACGACCTCGCAGATCGGGGAGTCGAATGCAGCCGCTGCAATTGCTCCTCTGAATGAGGACGATTCAATCCGATTGAAGGTCTCGGACGGCGTCGGTCAGAAATATGGCAAGAAATTCCCATCCTCGGAATTGAAGCCTCTTAGCTTAGACAACCTCCATCACTTTGTTACGGGAGCTTCGTCCGAATAGGCTTGTGCGCACTGCTCGTTGAATCGGAGATGATAAACATTTCTCTGGGGCCCGACAAGCCTGCCAAGCGCTGCAACAGCCTCCGAGGGCCGTAGCTCTATCTTAGTTTTCTATCCATCACCTGACGCGCAGACCATACTCGCTCCGTTCACTCATGGAGCGTCTGGTGGTTCGAAGGTTATCTTCGTAGCTCGTATTTTCTGTCGCATCTCAAAGTTCACCTGCGGAAAACTTTCGAGGCAGAGTTGAGACAGAAACTTGATGTGTTTGAGTGAAAACGCACTCACCCCCGTGTTCGGTGAAACTCCTTTGAGGGATTGCTTGCTTTACAGAAACAGAAGTTTTTCCAGCGGAGGAGGATCGCTTCCTGGCAAGAACGTATCATATGAGCACAATCGTCCCATTTTGACCTCGAGTCTGTCTCTGCTCCCGGGAAACCGGCGCTGCTTCCAAAGTATGCAGAGATTCAGGGAAAAAAACCGTCTTCGAGTCCAAGTATAATACAAACGGATTCTTCGTTCGTGCCGTACTCTGAACAAGTAATAATATTCACGATGCGCCGATCGTCGATTCCTACGCTCGCTCTGCGGATCCCTGGTCACGTAGTTTCGATTCGATTCCCATCCGTAAGTTCCCGTTGAGCGAAAACCGGGAAAGCGTTGCGGACTCTCGCAAACGTCATACCGTCGGACGTCCGTGGCTCGAACGCGTTGGTTGACTCCATGTCTCGTCCTCTGTTCCGACTGCCGTGCTGCAGGATGTTGATTTATGGAACCAGGTCTATTCATCTGGCTCAGTCCTTCACTTCCAGAGGAACATGGAGCTTAAGTGAACTGCTCTGAAAGAGGAAAAACCCAGAATCGGAAGCTCTCGGTGAAGAGGCTCTCTCGCGAGTTCTACGGCGATATCTCGATTGGCACTCTCTGTACTTCGAGTTCGACTAACCGGGAAAGCTTGAGAAGATAATCATGGACGAATTCGCGGAAAATTTCTAGAATCAGCTGGATATCGAAGGAGCCAGGCATCGACGAACTCGTTATTCTCCCATGATCCGAGCGAGGGGAACAATATACGATTTTCGGAATCATCGATTCCTGCAGCGAGCGATGCGGTGGTAGCGGTTCTTATCGTCGGCGAACCGCTAAGGAGTCGTCATAAAATATTTCAATAGGATGGTCTCGGTGGGGCTGTAACGTTCAGGGAGCTAAAGTGCTCCGTTTCCCTCATCGATCGACGCGAGTCGCCGGCCGTGGCTCGACTCGGGTTCCGCCGCGGGCTCGCTGAGGCTGCTCTGCGGTAGATATCTAGAAGTCTCTCTCTCCTCTCCCTGGACGGTCACTATACGTCCGCACGGATGAACCAACCTGGAAAACCGGGGACGTTCCTATCGGCGGGGAAGGATAGCCGCTCAGAGACTTGATCTCTCCCTTGTAGTGTCCATAAAAATCGCGAACGATCAATTTCGCATTGGCAAGGGTACGGGCAGCGCATGCGGCACAGATCGGGTAGCGTCGAGCAACGGCGGTCGAAGAATCCCGGGTTTTCCCCATCTATCGAGCTCTAGTGATGGATTAGCGAGAATGATGATCATCATCAATCACATTTTCCCGGGTTTTTCTGGGCCCGGAATGGATAATCTGATCCGAAGGCGGGAAGAAGGAGTCAAAATACGAGTTTGTGCCGTAGCGTCGGATATCATGAATGAGAGCCGCGTCCCATCGAGCGAGCTTATCCTCGCTGCATCAGCCAACGGATCAAGACAATCAGGACCAGGCAGCTGTCGTTGGGACCTTCTGAAATGGCGCCAGGAATAGCGGATGTTGCATCTAATCTTATTTCGGAGACACTCTCGCTACCGGGATGGCTTGCCGACGACGTCGGGGCTGCGTCTCTGCCGGAGAACTCGAATTGTTGATCTACGTTTTATTCAGCCACCTCCCAAATTTTGATTGAGTTTACGGAGATTGGAAGCGTCGCGAGCGAGAATATTCCTCGACGGCGAGCTACTTCGGTGAAAGCAAGCAGAAACTAAAATGCAAGAAGCGACCGAGTTTCCGGCGAGCTCGGTACAGACGGGGCTGAAAAAGCGTCGCGACCGAAGAATGCCAGAAAAAAGGCTGCATATCCGCAGAGGCGAAATCTTCTCTGCGACCTTCCCGATGACGAGCGTCCTGGAGGGCAGAGTGCAGATCCCGACGGCGTTGCGTCGTTGTCGTCGTGCGATCTGATCGGCTCGAATCAATGAGTCGGCCTTATTCAACCCACGGAACTGGTAACTTGTAAAGCGTTCCGATGGATCAAGCGTCGAGCGCCTTATCTCTTCTGAGACGACTCGAACGAAGACTTCTCGACCGGGATGAATACGACCCACGAGTCTGAGTAAGTCGACGGCTCGTCGGTCGAGTTTTCCCTCTCGTTGAGCTATCTCTTCCGAGTCACGCTGGCGGCCGACGCGCTCCGTGACTCCGATGATAATTTCCCAAAGCAAGACGAATTAGAAATGACGGCACCGTATGCGCGCTGTACTCTGCTTGTTCCTGTACTGCCTCCTTCGCTCGTCCATTTCAGCGACCGCTCGCGGAAAAACCTAAAACGTCCACCGGAGCTCATCGTGCGTGAAGCGGAAGATTCGTAACTGTTGTCCGATTTCCACCCCCCTGGGATTCATTTGCTCGTTCTTGCTCCTTGTTCTTGCAACACTGCAGGGCTCGTCGTATCGGAGTTTCGTAATGCGCGGAATCGTTTAGTCATCGGGAGAGCGGAGCAGGCACGAGTTAGTCGGACGGCCGGCTTCGCAGTATTCCTCGAATGAGTTGCTCTGTCCGATATATCAAGCAGCGGATGTGCAATTTCGGCGTGCTAATGACTGCTTGCCGAGAGTCTCAGAATGCGACCATTCAATGTCCGACGGCGCCCCTGTGGCTTTTCTTGCTTCCTCTCGATCCACGCAGGGCAACGGAGGCGGGAAACTATCGCACAAGGCTCGCTCCCCATTCTATGACCTTCAGCTCAATGGAATGGTCGGCTCGACGTTCGCTTCGGATTGAGCACTCGACTGCGAATTGGTGTTTCTTTCACCCCCACCGGACTTGGGAGAAGTCAACTGCGGCCTTTATTCTCCGATAGGTCGAAAACTGTTTCGAATTCACAGCGCCGGAAACATAGGCTCTTGTTTGTTCCTGCCTCTGTAGGTGACTCTATTTCTTTGTTGCCTTTGTTGTTCGCTCTCCTGCAAGCGTCCCTCCGTTTGCCTATTGCTCGACCTTTCCGAGAGGAGATTTTATATTATGTTCTCCGTCCTCATTGAACGTTGCGAGGCTTCATGAGTACGTGAAGTTTCTCGGAGAATCGCGCAACAGATACAGCGATAGTGGGTCTGTCGCTTCGGAATGTGGTCGAACAAAGAGCGAACGACGGACGGAACTCACGTGCGGAGTAAAAAACGCGCATTGAGGCCTAGTGGAGTCACAACCAGCAAGATATGAAGCATCATGTCGCCGATGGGTGTTCACGCGACTGGATTCCCCGAATTCAGTCGGCGATACGGCAGCGGTAGCAGCGTCGCAAGTTTGTCTTCTTACGATGCAACAGCAATTTCGAACTTTTGAGCATATATCATACGCACATTGGATCGAGTACGAATGCACCCGAAGGAAGCCATTGAGATTCACGATCTCATTCCGAGCAGCCATGATGGTACATCGATGAGCTATGGGCAGATGCCGCTCCACTAGTCTAAGGAGACGAACCAAATCGAAGGAGTCGTCATGGGGTTTCGGACTCGGGAGAAAATATTCTGTTCTCGGACTAGGTCACAGCACGCTGCTAGCGGCAAGTCAGCTAAAACGCTCCCGACGTTCATAGATGTGTACGCGCCGGGAAAATTCAGGGAAGTCTTTGGGTCATTCGCTTCTTTTTTTCAGGAATGGGGATTCCGCTTGGAATTCCCGAATATATGTATATGTTCACAAGAGAGGCTTCGCCGCCTAGATTCCAGGCTCCAGGCCATTAGTAAAGACGTGACATTGGATTTTCGGAAAAAAAAATCAATCATAATGTTCGGACGAAGTCTTATGAAACCGATGAAGTTCGATCCCGCATGCGAATCCTGGATCCTCAACGATGTGTTTCTATTCTTATGAAGTCCCGATCCTGACGATCAAGTCCGGCTGCTTTCGAGCGAAGCCGTGAATTAATCGATGAAGTCGTATCGCAATAAGGTTCAAATCCGGATGTGAGTCCCGAGCCCTCATTCAGCGAATCAAGAATCTTCAGCTTTCCGGCCTAGAGCATCCGAATCGGTTCCGAAGCCGGATCCTGTCTATATGGTTTTCATCATCTGAATGATTCAGATCGGCTGTGAGCAGGCTACGCGGCGGGGGGTATGCGGGTGTACGCGACATGTGTCGGGCGCCGACAATTCGACTCGTCTTCACGGTTGCGTGGGAGACGACGTGCTGATACCGATACCCCGATATGTGCTCGTCGCTCTCTTACCACGATCGTCAGCTCAGTGGCGTACGACCGTTTGCTGCGACACCGTTGAATACCACAATCCATCATCACGCACCACGTTTGGTTCCGATGTTCAATGATCCTGAATAACTGAGGTGATCCAAAGGTTCCAGAAGTAGTTCTTCAAAGACGTGGTTGCGGGAAGTTCAATAGCCTCCCTGACAGTTTTCCCTTGCCAGATGTCGCCTAAAACGCCTTCCGCGATTTAGAAACTCTCCGAGACCATTCGTGCATCCGTTACAAAACATTGACCATACAAGGTCAAGTTATCCCAGTTGCTAAAAACTATAAGTACCTTGGGGTAACCCTATCCGACTCCAGAAATTACCTCAATGCACAAGAGGAAGCCTGGATGAAAGGGGCCACTTCCGCCTTACATGCAATGCATGCTACGTCTCTCTGGGGTTTCAACAGATTTGAGATCTCTAGAGTGCAGTGGAAAGCAACCGCCGTCCCGAAACTCACCTACGCCAACTCGGTCTTGGTGAGGAGCGCAAATTTGAGGGACACCCTGGATAGAGCCCAGCGGAAAGCCGGAAAATGGGCACTAGGGATTCCAGGCTCGAAAGTATCGAACGAGTTCGTCGAAGGCGAACTCGGATGGTCATCCTTTGAAGCAAGGGATGCCCAAAGCAAATAAGATACTTCGAAAGAGTGAGATCAATGCCTGAAAATAGATGGCCGAAAGCGATCTTAAGAATGATGGAGCTCACTCAGAAGGAAACCAAGGCGTACCAGGAGACCGAACGACTTAGAGCAAAATACGAATGCTCAGACATACAGACTCCAATTCGATCAAGAAGGACGTCCGCTCTCGAATATCTTCAACAAAAAGATCAAAGAAAGGATACGAGAGACCCAAGAGGCGATGTGGAGAGACAACATGCTCCTCAAGACGAGCCTCACTACTTACGCCAAGGGAAAGAAAACCCGAGGTGTAACTAGCTTCACTTACGATAATAGTAAGGGGAGCGCCCTCCTGGCTCTGGCCAGAGCCAACATGCTGCCAACCAGAGCCCACAAGATGTACCCCGGAACCGACAAAACCTGTCCCAGGTGTGGCATCTACGAAGAGACGATGGAACACGTCATCTTCGAATGCAACGACATCTATTACACGGGGGAAGAACTCCTGTGCCGTCTCGGACTCCACGAAGGAGCAAACAATGCAACCGAAGTAAGAAGGACAAAAAGAATCCTGGAGGATTGGGACAAACAACGATCTGCTGAATTTCGCGCCTGATATGAAAGGCTGATTGACTGTGTATATACAAACAAACGGATGTACACCTCAATCTGGATCACAATAAACCATAACCATAACCATACAAGATCCTTCACATTTTTCTGGACAGCGTCCATAAGGACGTAGTTCTACGTCAGAAAAATCAATGCCCGGCTCGATCAGGACCGGTATCAGCAAGAGCCGACGGCGAAAATCATGCATGAGGGGCATATTCGAAGAAGCTGTTCAAGTGCGGAAGAATCATGGGATCAAAAAGAAGACATGGATTCCGGGATAATTATTGTCTACCAGTTCCTGTCAGAGGATGCAGGCTCGTTAGAGCGTCGCAACTCGGAAGAATCTGCGGATGAGCGAGATGATTAAAAAACTGTGCCTTGTCATCGTCAGTCCTCTTCTCTTGTCCACGACGATAGACTCGCTCTAGTCGCTCAACTTCGCAGATATAATAGGGTTTCACAATTCGTGCTCTCCGGTCCACCCGACCAGGATGTTCTGATGGGAATAGACAGTGTGCAGACTGCGAACCGTCGATTGAGACAACGTCTTTCGTCAAGTGAGTGAAAGAGTCTGGAATGGGGGGGCGATCGGAAGGTTGAACGCTCCACTCGATGACAGGAGCGAGCGGCCAGGAAAAGTGGAGACTATTCCTCCGCGGCAACTAGAGTCGTCGCCCGTAAGAGATGAACACTACAAACGCCTATCGGGACTCGCACATGGTTTCGGACCCCACGGGGAATGGGGGGGGGAATACGGACAGTCACTTGTTTCTCGGGACACTTATTTCTCGCGAGTTTATTCCAAAGAGAGCTGATATTGAACCGGAGCACGCATCTCCGCGTAATCTGGAACCGCAGAGGACCTCCGGGGAATGGAAGCGTAGATTTCATGACAAGCTCCTCCCGCCTTGAATTCCTCCCCCCAAACCGCCAGAGGCGCGATAAACCCGGGACGCAGGCGAAGGGTTAGGGTCGCCAGAGCCCGGTCGACCATGGCCGGAGGAAACCACTCCCGTGTTCTACAGAGGAATCGGAACTGACGGTACCGGGGGAGATGCTGACGTCGCTCTCCTTAGGGATCCCGCAGAGCTTCAATGAAGTCGATGACAATTTGCATGTGCTATGAGACCCGATTGGCCATCCGCTTATCTCAGAACACTTCTGACATGCTTGCGCTCCTCTCACTGAATGGTGGGGAGTGTCTAAACTCTAAACGCTCCGCTCACCTCCGCTCGGGGTACAACAAGCGGAATTTCGGCATAGACAGAACTTGACGCTCTACTACGCATAAAAACCGACTGAGAGCTAGCCTGCCGAGCGTTCCTCGGGCCAACCGGTCAAGCGGTTCTTCCGATGCCGTATCTCCTTCGTTTCACCCGCGTCCCTCATGCGCTTCCCCGGTGTTCCTTTTCCCCTCCGCATCTGATGATGATGATGTTGATAGCGTCCGCATCGGGCTTTACATTGGACGAGAAGGGACCGACGTGGGAGGACAAGGAGGATACGTCGTGCACTTCCTTCATCGATCAAGACGTGACAATAAGCAAAGAAAAGTCCTCGTCTCGACCCGCGTGGGTAACGCAGAGATCTCTCGGACAGCGGGTCGTAGCGACTCCGGCGGAGTCGGGCTCCACTTTTCGTCGTAGAAAGAGAAACTACTGCTGACGATTGATGGACCACTGTGTCAGCGATGCATGGAACTTCGAGGAGTGGTCGTGTGCTAAATACGAACCAATCTGACGTCCATTCATCGGAAATCACGATGAAGTCGGGAACGGATGACCCCAACAACGAAAGTATTTGGTTCTGAGAAACGATCGAAGACAGAAATCGCACGATTTGGGATAATTAAGGAGCCCAAGAGCTGCACGGCTCCCATCCGGAGTACCTGGCCAAATCGGGAGCGCCTGCCTTCTTAGATGGGACCGGAGACCGGCACGGAAAAACACGGAAGAATTTCCCGCTGGAAGACGGCGCTTTTTGAATGCGATTCTTAGAATCCGTCGCCCGGACAGAAAAGAACCAACGATTCCCCTACCCTCGAATCCACTCCTGCGCTGTGTTCGCAAAATTGAGTATGTCGCTTCTCCTACCCCCAACGTTCCCGCGTATTTTCCCGTGATGCTTGCGGTAAGAGACGGGAGAAGAGAGCGCTCGGCTTGCAGCCTAAAGCGACTCCCCACTCCCTCGCGGGAGGGGGGAACAAACTCATCATCTGAGTTCCGTCTACTCCCGGTCGGCGTCTACAACACTGGTGATTATTCTGCTTTTTATACCCCTCACGAAGTGCTGTTCGCGTCGAGGAAGGCGCCGCTTCCTGGAGAATTATCCTCTCCGAAACTCCTGGATTGCTTTCCTTCAACGCAAGACCACCGGGAGGCAGCGACATGGCGGGTTCCAAGGCAGTAGGGAATCGGCCGAGCGATGCTCG